TATCTATCTATCTATCTATCTATCTATCTATCTATCTATCTATCTATGGTATTCAGCTTTGTTTGGGTATTATCCCACATCTTTTAAAGCACAACTATAATGACGTGGGAAAATACCCGAACAAAGTTGAATACATGTAAGTACCCGCGAAAACTTAAGAAAACATATATATATATATGTAGATTTTCACGGGTACAGGTATGTAGGTCTAGATGTGTTCGGGTCTTTTTCCGTGTAAGATTAAGAGTATCTTGGTGACCTTTTTACTTTCGGCTTCGTGCCAGTGCAAGCAGCCGAAAGCACCAGCCTGAGGATGGCGAGCGGGACCTCGCCGAAACTTGGCCAAGATATTCTTAATCTTACACGGGAAAAGACCCGAACACACCTAGACCTACATATATATATGAAAAACTCTCAATAATAATACAAATAATTTTACTATATTTTTCCTAATTTGTGCTATAGATGCTTCCAATTTACATTTAGAGAAAAAGCAGAATATGAAAACTCTGAGAATGTGAAAGTTTTAGATAACCATCAAATGAAGTAGTATTTATGTGGTACACTAGCACTGTGGAAGTTGTTTTTTCGACTGGTTATAGATTTCAGTTACACAGATGAAGCAGATGTTTCCACAGGATTAACATGTTAACAGGAAAGAAGCAATTTGGGAAAGGCTTGATACAATTGGCCCTGTGGTGTAGTTCTGTTTAAGTTGTTTTTGTAAGATAAACTGTCAGTTCTTGCCTATATAGAGATAACTCTGTACTGTCCATATTAGGTTCTTATTAGAACACTCCAGCATATATAGCAGAAATAGTTTACTGCAGTCTTTATGTGCTTTGGGTTCCATTATGTTCAACTTGTAAACAGTAATTTGGTTCAAGATCCAATCTGAGTCAATTACTGGAGCAAAGATTTGTTCTTCCAAGCATTTGGGTCATGCTGGAGCCCATCATCTGGGAATTTCTCTGTCTCCACCAGAACCAGTAATCTGGTTCTTCTATAGTTCTGAAATATATCTTCACTTGAGATATTCGTCTATCCTTGCCTACATATTTTGCTGTTCTGTTATGTCACATTTCTGCTTCTGTCCCTTGCTGCATTCTCCTCATCCAGCTGATTACAATCATTCTGACTTCTATATGATGGCTTTTCATCTCCATTTTCTTGTCCTACACATACAGTATTTCCTCTAGAATTTCTTCTTCCTCTTCCTCCTCCACTGACATTTCTTTGAATTGCTTCTTATATTCTGGAATATTAGCATTTCCATTTCATATCATTCTTTGTAATTAATCTTTTCATGCTATGTCTATCAAGTCGCAACCATGTTGAATTCTCTTGCAGAAGTATTATCATAAGTAATATTTAAAAGTCTTCTCTCCTACTTTAAATGGCAGTTACAATAAAAATCTTCCTGTCTTAATCGTATTATTCAAGGTGACAGCTTATTCATACATGTACAATATTACTATAATTCTATTTTATAGCATTCATATTATATTCTTTTAGAGTTATTGCTCTACGTGAAAAATTGGCTGATTTGAAGCAACAACTTGAAATGTTAATACAGTCACAGATGACTGAACAGACTGAACAGATTGAAATACAGAAAGGTTTACCTCCCAAAGGACTTGGAACTCATACAGCAAAGGTGCTATTGGACAAAAACACCAAGGTATCTAAATGATTATCAGAATCAATTATCTGTAATTATCAGAAATAATAGACCACGGATATCTATCTATACAACATATAAAGACAGGAGCTCTTATTCTTAGAAATGTTCTTGATGTGAATGTTCTTTTTAAAGCAAGACTGTTTTATGAAAAAAGCAGCAGTATCTCACTCAAGGGTAAGGAATTTCTTGTACTAAAAGTGTGTTTGAAATGTGTGCTTGGAATTTTATGTCTTTTTCTACTAAGAGGAGCATCATATTTTATGCTGTGTTTTAATGTTACTTTTCAAGGGATAAATTTTATTTTACATCTATGTAAGAGATTGGTAATACCGTGTTTCTCCAACAATACGGCCTCCACCAATAGGAAGGCCCGCCATGATTTCTAGGCATGAGGTGAAATTAAGCCCCGCCTCCAAAATTTAGGCCTTTTCAAACCATGCTTTTCCCCGCCATTTCTCACATCGTTCGTTAGAACTACATGAAGTGAAGAGAAATGGGCGGGGAAGGGCGGGGGGTATGGGGAGAAAACTTGCCTTTAGGAATGCCCTGCAGGTAGCCCAGGCTAGAATACCCCGATAGCCAATAGAAGCTCCCTTGAAGGCAGAGTCCTGAGCCGCTTCAGGGCGAGGCATGGCTTCCCATGTCCCTTCGCCTTTAGGCAATCTCTTTCGGGCGATGGAAGCTCCCCAAATGCAGTCACCAGCCATTTCGATCGGCTGGTAAAAGTGGCCTCGGGGTGAGTGCACACACACACTCCCCTCGCCGCGAGGCCTCTTCTACTGGCCGATCAAAGTGGCTGGTGACTGCATTTGGGGAGCTTCCATCACCCGAAAAAAACTGCCTAATGGTGAGGGGACACAGGCAGCCACGCCTCGCCACGAAGCAGCTGGGGACTGTGCCTTCAAAGGAGCTTTTGTCTGCCAAAAGAAGCGGCCTCGCGGCGAGGGGAGTGTGTGTGCGCGCTCGCCCCGAGGCCGCTTCTACTGGCTGAAGTGGCTGGTGACTACACTTGGGGAGCTTCCATCGCCTGAATGCGACTGCCTAATGGCGAGGGGACATGGACAGCCATGCCTCGCCCCGAAGCAGCAGGGGACTCTGCCTTCAAGGGAGCTTTTGTCTGCTGAAAGAAGCAGCCTTGCGGCGAGGGGAGTGTGTGTGTGTGCGCTCGCTCCGAGGCCGCTTCTACCAGCTGATCGAAGTGGCTGGTGACTGCATTTGGGGACCTTCCATCGCCCGAAAGAGACTGCCTAAAGGCAAGGGGACATGGGCAGCCATGCCTTGCCCCGAAGCAGCTGGGGACTCTGCCTTCAAGGGAGCTTTCGTCTGCCGATAGAAGCAGTCTCGTGGCGAGGGGAGTGTGTGTGTGTGTGTGTGTGTGTGTGTGTGTGTGTGTGTGCATGCTCACCCCAAGGCCGCTTCTACCGGCCGATTGGAGTGGCTGGTGACTGCATTTGGGGAGCTTCCATCGCCCAAAAGAGACTGCCTAAAGGCAAGGGGATACGGGCAGCCATGCCACGCCACACCCTGAAGCAGCTGGGGATTCTGCCTTCAGGGAGCTTTCGTCGGCTGATAGAAGCGGCCTCGCGGCGAGGTATATGCATATGGGCCGCTCTAGGTGGGGGAGGAAATTAAGTCACCCCTGAAAAGATGGCCTGGCCGTTTTTTCAGGGGTCAAAAAAAAATAAGGCCCGGCCTTATTTTGTGAGAAACATGGTAGTATTATAGTGTTTATATTATTCTGCTTTTTTAGAATTACTGCTATCACTGCTACACAGTTTTGTTACGCAAATGCAAGTTACATATGACTCAAACTACAATAGTACCTTATCAATCAAATCCCTGCTTTAACAATATCATAATTTTACTGCCTCAATTTCAAAAGCACCTTTGAGTGAGAGATTGCTGAATTCACATACTTTAAAAAGTTTGAGGCCATCTTAAAAGATATCCACAAACATTGTGGGATATTTAGCCCATTTTCAGAATATTATATTTATTGGGGGAATTGTTATGAGGATAACTAACTTGGCTGCAAAGGTACTATTTCTTCTTTTTCAAAGGCAGTGTAACCTACAGCCATGTCAACATTTTTGCAATCTTACACTTACTATTAACAATATACATTAGTCCCTTGGTAAATACTGCAGTCATTAAGTGGAAAATCACATCTCCATGGCAGGTTTATGATGTAACTTCACATTGAATCATTAAGTGAATCACCACAGTCACTAATGATGTCATCAGATGACCATAACTTACACACTTACTTACACACTTTTCATAAACTTTGCTTGTTGCAAGCCAGTTGGAGAGCAGGCAAATGATAACTATGTAAGGATGTAGTAATTTACCATCATGAATTTCAAACAATTATTAAATGAAGCAGGCAGTAAATGAGAACTGTCTATGCTGTTTAGTAAGTAGCAGTGTTGGCTAACCTTTTTGGCACCCCCAACATGCCCCAAACCAAAAAAACACATGATCTTCCAGTTTCTGGTGTGCCTGGTCTTCTGGTTTTGGGTGCTCATGCGCACACCAGCTGATTGGTGCGTATGTGTTGGCTCTGCCTGGCCTTTTGGGGGTCCTTGCACCTCCCTGCCTGCCCCCCTGGTCCCTGTTGGGATGGTGGGACATTCCCACCGAAGACCCTGTTCCACAGCCCTGGACAGGGAAAGTTGGGTGGAGAATGCCGCCTTCCTCCACTGGGAAGCTGGAGCCCCTTCCTGGCCTTGAAGGGAAGGGGTGTCTGTGTTCCTGGGGCTTGGGTTGGGAGTCAGCAGGTAGGAGAGCTTCACCCCAACTGGCTGGGATGAAGCGCCCCTCTCCAGCCCATCACCAAGAACAAGCCAGCAGAACCCCCACACACTTCTGCCAAGGGAATGTGACTGCTTCCCGGCCAGCTCACCTCTTACCCTGGCGTTTCTCCCATGAGCATTTGCTGGCTGGGCGGTAAACTGCCCCATGCTGGCGAGCCGTGCAGGCAGCTCGCTTCCTGCCAGCAGCTTCTCCTCCAGCATCCTCCCTGGAAGCGGCAGTGCAACAGCCCAGAGAGGGGCAGAGCTGTGGGCCAGGACGGGCAGGAATGGCTTCCCTCTCTCTCCGCATGAGTAGGGTTCTTGTGCGGTTCCAGCCCATGGTGCATCCATGCTTCTGGATGGCTTGGGCACCCCAGAAGAGCTGACTGCCTCCCATGCAGCCCCCCCACCAATTTGCCAAGGATGCATGACCGCTTCTGTCCCCAGCATTTCTCCCACCTGACTCAGCTCCTGCACCGCCCTAGAAGAGCAGCCTCCGTAGTCGCAAAGGGAGGGCAGGAATGTCTGGCCAGGAATGAGGGCCTGGCTCGCCAGTGTGAGAGCGGCTGTGGTGGCTGGCCAGTCACTCCTGCCCTTTCCCTTGCAGCTGCAGTGGCTGCTGCTCTTCTGAGGAGGCACAGGAGCTGAGCCAGGTGAGAGGAACACTAGGGACAGAAGCGGTCGTGCCTCCTTGGTAAAAGTGGTAGGAAGGGGGGCTGTGTGGGGGGCAGCCGGCTCTTCTGGGGTGCCCAAGCCAGCCAGGTGCTCCGGAGCATGAATGCGCCGTGGGCTGGAGCTGCGCAAGAACCCCACTCAGGTGGAGAGGGAGGGAAGCCCCGGCTCGCCTGTCCTGGCCGACAGCTCTGCCCCTCTCCTGGTCTTCTGGCATGCGCACCTGATAGTCTTCCCGTTGCTGGTCTTTGCACCCGCATGAGCACCAGAAACCAGATGACCAAGTGGTCGGCTCACATGCGCACGTTGGAAACAAGATCATTTTCCTGGAGAATTTTGGTTTTTGGTGTGCATGCGCATGTGAAATCCAGCTGGCTAGTGTGCTGGAACCTGGAAGAGTAACAGGCGATGGCTCCGTGTGCCCGGAGAAATAGCTCTGCGTGCCACTTCCGGCATGTGTGCCATAGGTTCGCCATCACTGGTATATAGCATAAACTATAATAATATAGCTGTAATTGTGGTAGCTTGCTTCTGCATAGAAAAGCTGAGGTGGTGTTTATCTGTAGTTTTGATAGTTTCAGATCCTTGCAGCTTTTGTCAAGCAACTATTCTCATGTTCCAGGCAAGTTTCTAGGGGTAAAATGGACAAGTGTTCCATCTTTTTATATTTCCAGATGGCTGCCACTGTTATGTTGTCTTTTTTCTAGCAACTACTTTGCAAAGGAAGTTCTAGAGAGATGTATTCTAAACAGGATTGGCAACAGTGGTGAGATATCCTGGTAATGAAGAAAACGTTATGGGTTGCATTCTAGTCTATCTGAACTTTGTGGAGCGTTTTAGAAGGCAGATGTCCATTACATTACAGTAATCTAAGCTGGGGATGATAATCATGAATCTTTAATTCTTAAAGAAAGGGAGAACTCATATATACATTCATATGCTAAAAAGGATTGGAGCATCTTGCTCATTGGTATATCTAAGCATAAGAGTATTAACTAATTCCAGAGTTTTTAAGGAAGGACAATCCTATTCAAAGCAGATTACAGTTTTTCACCAAGCACCATTAATGTCTCTCTCTCTATGTGTCCATGAATGCCATTGGATCTAGAGGCTGCTTGACTCAAGATGACTGCGAGTGGCTTACATTTCAAAAGTAGGAACAATAAAATGAAAAAGAAAAGAAAAAGAATCTGTGTTTCTGGAAAAAGACAAATTCAATAAACCAGAACAAAAAATGAACATATCTAGACAATAGTTTAACACAATGTTGAGGAGGAAAGCCAGGTTTTCAGAAATTTTTGAATGGGTGTAAGGTGAAAGACATAGATGTACAAGAGGATACAATTTCAGAGAGCAAGTGATTGCAGCAGGTACATTTCCTAAATCCTGATGAATGACATTGTTTGATTGAGTGAATCTGGACCATTCTTACACCACCTGATCTTAATAGAAAGGCATTGGAGCACTTGGGTTAAAGTTCAGTTTAATAATTCAGCTATAAACTGCTTCTGCTGCTGAGTAAAAATGGATATTGATTGAAGAAAGGGAAGGAAATTGTAGTGAAGGTGATAACCATCTTTGTAGGCATTTTATTGACAGCTAATTAGAATTCCTTTTTTTTAAAAAAAGATCAAAATCAGCACAGTCAATTAGAAAATTTCTTCAAGATCTTTTACTGATAAGCTGCAAAGTATTGTCAGACCAATTGCTGGCTGATGAATGTTAAAGAAAAGTAGACATTTATTTTCAAAGAAGACATTTATCATGTGACAGATTTTGTTCAATATCTACTCTGATATGATTAATGAGGCATTTGTTGGCATTTCATCTGATGGGTGCTATGACAGTCCAGACAACAGTTTTCTATTTTATTATTAAAATACTGGTTTTTGAATGGATGACAAATATTTCAGGTGGTAATATAAATATAATCAATTTAAATGGCAGAATTATTTTGTCAAGGGTAATTTAATTGACATTCAGGTATTTTGACACTGAAAATAATGTGGTTTTGAAATGATTATATGGTTGCAAATATTTGGGTTGGTTTGTCACATTTCCTTGAACTATAGAAGCTATTAATATTGTACAAAGACTAATCTTAGAAAATGGATTTTTCGTTATATTTGCAAATTTGCATTTGTCTTAGGAACAATTCCATTTCTATGTGTAATATATATTTTATTGTTCTGGTACTGTAGATTTATTTTAGATGAAGGTTATACTAAGAACCTAGCAGTCAAGTCTGCCAGATTTGAATATGTTTGTGTTTGAATTAATGAACTTAGTGTTTTTCTTATTCTTTCAATGTTAATGAAAGACTAAGAGATTAGTGTGCTTTTTTTGTTTAATCATAAGGCTTATTACTATATATAGACTACTATAGATTTAGATACTCAGAAACTAAATACAAATATAATAGTTTATTTTGTAAAATTATTGCAAGCATATATGGAGAATGAGAGTTATAGATGCATTATATTTCATACAAGATGGATTTCTTAAAAATAATCTACTTACTTGTTTTCATCAGAGAAAATGAAATTATACCTAACGTATAATTATCAGGGAATTTGGGGTAATAACTTTTAATGAAGTAGTCATGGATGCATAATTGAAGAATATAGCACAGGAAAAATTAAAAAAAATAAGCAACCTAGTTTTTCATTCTCACTAGACTGATAGTAAAATCAGACTGTACTCATTTCAGTATATTAAAATTGGTAGTATTTGGTATTATCTTTGAGGAGGGGAAGGGATGACCAAAATCTATGCTACTGAGGATATTATGTCATCATGGCTGCATGCACTCAGACATTCAGCATTCAGGCATGCTGATGCGTATTTACATCACGATATACACTCATACACATCATATATTAACCTAGATATACAGGCATAAACTCTCTTCCTTTTCAGTGTACTATAGTAGATTTAAACTTTCTTTGTATTATAATTTGGTGTCTCCTGCTGCTGGTTTCAGTGGAAGACGTGTAATTCAAACTGGGAAGACATATATAAAATTCTTTCAATATTGAGATTTTATTTCCAAAAACCTTTTACATAACAGACTTGGATATTGCAGAAGAGCTGGTATACTCTGTATGCCATTTTTCTCAGCACATTTCATGGCAACAGGAGGTGATATGGGGAAAATAACACATTCAGGGAGTGAAATAAAGAAAATCCAAGGAGATGGATGCAACAGTGAAAACTGACATAGTAGACATAGAAAACTGTATAAAGGAGTTTCAATATCTGGTGACTAGAACAACATTGTTATTATAGAAACATTTGAAATATTTAGAAATGTAAAGTAATAGATTGGAGTTGTAACTTTTTTGCATTCTACTGCACTGAAAGTCAGAAGTCAGTACTTTTAAAAAAATTCTTCTCTACAATTCTTTCATTTTTAAACTTTTCTGATTTTTGTTTCTATTTATATTTTACCTTATAATACATTTTAATTAAACATTAAAAAGACAATCTCTGATATCTTTGATACCAGAGATTGTATCAATGTGTCGCTGAATATACCAGGTCAGTCATTCTTTTGTAAGGGATCATTATTTATGTGCTTACCTAATTCTTCAACTGAAGCAGAAAATCATATGCTTTTTTTAAAAAAAAATCATGACTGGTAAAACGTGAATGAGAATTGTAATGTCAGTTATCTCAGTTCAGAGAAAAAAATGTTACACATCCACAATTCATGATCAGGAACACAATTTTCAACTAAAAACTTTTGCAATGTCTTATTTCTATTTTATTTTTATTTTGCTTGGAATAGCAAGACCTCGTCTGCTAAAATTTTCTATGGGTAATTTAAAAAAAACACCTTTTGGTTTATAAGAAAATACTTTTTAACTTTGGCCAAACATGCTGATAGTATGATATGAGAAATTAAAAATATATAATAAAGTAGCCCTTATTTTCTTATTATTTATTTAGGAAATGGTTAAAGTGTGCTTTTCTGAAATAAAAGCCTTGTTGTCCATTACCACAGATCACTCTTCACCGCTTAAAGAGGTACATTATTTGGATTTTTAAAAATATATTTTCCCAATTCTAATTCTTTTCTAGTAGATTTCTGTTATTAATTGTATTCTGGAAAGCATATTTTATTATATTCTGAATATGAAGTTATTTGTATTAGCGTGATTATAATTTTTGTTGTCTGGAATATAAGCTTTTCTTAGGTTACAATACATGTACAATACATTATACAATGTGTACATGTTTGTCATGTGTTATATTAACGTTAGTGAATAATTACACATTTTAATGTATTAAAATGTTTTCTTCCCCCTCAGGTGATCTAAAAAAAGAAAAAAAGTTTTATGTATTCTTTTGTAAAGTACAATACATACTTGTAGCTTAATGTTTGTTTTTATGTAAATTTGTAAGATTGGATCATAAGGTATCCATACAGAGGACATGCTGCAATAGTGGTGCCTCTAAGGCTTTCATGGCTAAGGTGGGACTTGACCCCCAGCAAGAAGGGTGCAGTGGCAAGTAGAGCTGGACAGGGGCAATTGGCAGCAGAGGTGGCTAAAAGAACAGCAATGAGTGGGGGATAAGCAGAGGAGGGAATTGAAGGAGAGGCAGAGGAAGCAACCCAGTCCTTACCATATGCTTATAGAGCCTTAGGTCTAGGAGGGACCAAAATGGGAATGGCTTGGATCGGAGTGAGTCCTCGGTTAATGACCAATAGAATTGAATTGAACTGAATTGCACAGAGATAGAAGCACTAGTTCCAACTGTCATGGTAACTTTGAAGGATTATTGTGCTGTGTAATTCAGTTTGGGGAATTACAGTGACAGGTAGATCTCTTTCTGCTAATGTAAAGTGATTGATTTTTGGCCATGTATGTATATTGAGCAATTTTTTTTTTAGTTTTCTGTAGTTAAGATCTTGTTAGTGTATGTGATATTAACCAAAAGGCCGAGAAACAATTGTTCCTAATAAAAATGTTCCTCTCAAAGACTATCTTTAGCTAAGATGATCAGCCACAACTTAATTCAAACACAAGCATATTCTCTCTTTTTTCCAGATCCCATTTGAGATCACTCTACCATCAATAAAAAATTTAAGCAAATTGTTCGATCCAGCAAATGGATGTGTAATAATGGCAGGAAACGTTTTCAGCTGGATAGTATCTCTGCTTGCTTGAATGTTTTTTCAGGAGTAAAACTGACATGTTTCATTTAATGATTGATTTGACAGCTTTTTGGATCAGTATCCCATCACTCTGAAACAACTGGAGCTGTTACTTGAAGTCTAGAACTGATTCACAAAAATCTTTAGATTTATAAAATGCTTTAAGCAGTAATTTAAATAATTAACATATTGATTTTTGCATATTCTGTTGCTCTTGGTTTAGAAATATTATTTTTGGTGCTTGGTTTTATACGTCTTGGTTCAATATGGTTTCAGTTTCATTGTTTTCTTCAAAAATAATGAAAATAAATCCAGTTACACAGTTCTTTTGATTGCATTCTTAAATGAAAACAATTCATTAACTGTATAGATATTTTTTTATTTGCCTTAACTGTTTAAAAGTAATTATTTAGCACCAGATATGATATTCTTCCATCCACTTCTAGTACCAATCAGTGTGTTTGCAGCTTTTCACTGAATGTTTTATTTGTATTTCTAGATATATTTGTATATTGTTAGAACTAGGATGTCAAAATACTGTAGCAATGACACCTGCTTAATCTTGTCTATGGAGTTTTTGTTACTTTTTGTAATATTTATTTTGCAAGTTAGAAATATAAACATTATCTCCATTCTTCTCTTGTAGCAAGTGTAAACAACAAGATCTTTGCCCTTATATTTGCATCTGCAGACTACAAGAAAGGAATAAAATCACATTCCTATTAATGCACTTGGCAGAGGTGTAAAATAACAAATAATTAAAAACTGATACCATGTTAACATTTATATATCAACTTAGTTTTCAAAGTTTCAGTAAGAAGCAGAACTATTTTGAACTACTGTCCTGAGTAAAAATGATGCATAAAAATCAAATTATTCAAACTACTCTCAGTTAAAAAATGCATAACATTCCCTCATCCTTTCTCCGCAAAAAGCTGGGGGTGGGGGTAGGGATATATATTTGGAATCGCAGCACTTTAGATTCCGGAAATGTGTTTCAGAATACTATGTGTGCAAATAAAGCACTGTGATTTTTAAGGTAATTTTTGTCTAGGATTATATGGCAATAATACAACATAATAATCTCACTGTGGAAAAATATGCCATTCTTTAAAGAACTGCAAAGATGCTGTATTCTTTTCCAACCATCAATTCAGAAGTGAATACGAAACACAACATGCCCCTAAACAGTGACAGAAGCAAGTTATTGTTTTCTGAGTTTCATGAATGAATACTAGAAAAAAGTATATTTCAATTTTAGATTGTAATTTAGTGAATTGCATCTGAATAAAGTGTGATTAATCTTATCTTTGAAAATAGCTGAAACAAGTCATTTTTCTAAGCTATTTTGAATCTTTTTTCAGTAAACCATACTTGTTTCACTTAGTGACTGTTCTAACCTCTAGAGACTAAATATGAGTATTAGTCACCAATAAATAATCTGTTGTTCAAGCAAAAAGATGATGTTGGCAAAAGGACTCTTATTTATGCATATATGACCATATTTTTGTGATGTACTATATCTTTACCAATACTGTGGATATAAGAATATATGAAAACACCATGCAATAAATATGAATTATTACATTCTGCAAGGTGCTAGAGTAGAAATAAAAACCCCTTCCCCATTTTGCCTTCAATAAAAGTTTATTTAGGTTATTCAGCATGTGGAGTTACACTGCCCTAAACCAGGAGTGTCAAACTTGATTTCATTGAGGCCGCATCAAGGTTGTGTTTGATCTTGGGGGGGCTGGAGTGGGTGTGGCCAGGGGGTGTGGCCAGTATGACATCACTCATGTTGGGGACACCTGTGGTGACCCAAGCACTCTGCCTGTGAAAACAGGCTCCTAGGCCTCGTTTTCTGCTGCATGTGGCCTCCTCAAGCTCCATTTTCATTGGCAGAGGGCTGCAGGCAGCCGTCGTGGCAGAAAATGAAGCCTAGAACAGTTATGTGTGCCCCCCCCCAAGCTCTGTTTTTGTTGGCGGAGGCCCCACGGAGCAGTCCTTTGCTGTTTCCTTGGTGGCCCCATGGGCCAGATCTAAGCACCCCGCAGGTCAGATTTGGCCCACGGGCCTTGAGTTTGACATCCCTGCTCTAAACAGTAGAAAAAAACTTGAGCAAAACTTGAAAAACATCAAAGTGTTTTTCTCCCTTTGAATAACTATTGACAAACAAGCCTATCCAAAGACATTTTTTTGCTGCCATCCCTGCTATTTTTCAGAGTTGATATTGAAGCCCCAGTTTATTTCAGTAACAAATTGAGCCTAATTTCTCATATAGAATTCAAGGGAGGGAGTAGGGAGAAACATATGACCAGCCTATATTAAGCCAAACTCTGGGTGGCTCAGAGTTCCAAAATAAAATTGATATATGTCAACAATGAAATAAATAATAGACCTGACACCCCAGTTAAATTTTCTATGCAGCCCACAAGTTTGTCCCACGCTTATCTCACCCTACTTAGGCAACTGAAGGAAAAGTCAAGTCTAAGTGCTTTTAAGAAAGTTAAAGGAATAGGGGATTCCTCAAGGGATACAACATAGGGCAAAATGTAAAATGGCAGCATATAAGGGATCAGGAGTATGCTTATTCTGTCCAATGTGGTGAGTTGAGCATATGTCCTCAGGGAAAGGCAGTCCTGCAAACAACTGGTTTCATACTATGTAGGACTTTAAAGTTAATACCCACCCCTTTAAATTGCCCCTGGAAGGAAACTGCCATTTGTCAGAAATGGTGTAGGGTCTCCCGCTTGGGCGGGGGGGTTGGACTAGATGACCTATAAGGTCCCTTGCAACTCTGATTATATGTTATCTGTTAAGTCAATGCAGCATGTGCTTTTACAGGTATAACGGGTGTCCACCACTGCATGCTGCTACAATCTGGACCAGTGGTAACTTCTGAGTGATGCTGAAGGTCAGTCTCATGTAGAGTATGTTGCAGAAACCAAAGCAGGAAATAACCAAGGCATGAATGACCTTGAAAGGATCCAATTGGCACACATGGGGAATCTATGTGCCACCCTAAGCCATAACTGCCACTTGCTCTTTGAGTAAGAGCTGTTGAGGTAATTCCCCATTAGGAGAATGAGCGTACACAGGGAGACGTAGTGAGAGCAGTGAAGAATAATACACAACTAGCACACAGATACACTGTATAGTAAAATGTAGGTTTTTACTTCTAGTAAAACGGTTAAGCAAAGTTCAAACAAGCACTCCAAGTCATTCACAGTTAAAGCAGTCAGTTTTCAGTCCAGGGATAATCCAATAACAAAGTCCAGTTTCAGTAACAGACATCAAATCCAAGAATAACAGTCAATAGGGATGGCAACACTCCAGAACAGAACAGAACAGGACCTAAACAATCCAGGTTTCTGGCTCCATCTTATGGCAGTTTGAGGAACCACACCCAATTACAATTTTAGCATTCTCTTAATGTCTGTCCTGGTTTATATATTTTCCAACCCAACTATTAGGTGACTTACATTCCTAACAAGAGCCACTGAAGAGAGCCAAATAGTGCACCAGCCAGGTATGGGAAAGTCAATCCCATCCAGAATTAAAGATGACCAGGGCCTGAGGAGCCAAAGAAACATAAACAAAGCCAGTCTCTGGCTCCTTAAAAATTACAACTAGTGGCGGATTAAGGCTCACTGGTGCCCTAAGCACTGACAAATCTTGGTGCTCCCCTTCTTTGTACATACTGTACAAACAAAGCCATATTCTCAACTGTGGTGTCCCCTTTGGGCCTGGTGCCCTAAGCAATAAGTCTGCTTAATGGTTAATACACCACTGATTACAACACATCATATTTTGTGAGCTGTACACAGAGTTGTCCTGTTTCCAATACTCGATCAAACGAAAAGAAAGGAGAATACAGCTCATCAGTCTGGAACCCACATTACGTATCTGATATTAACACAGTTGAGAAAGTGTAGAAATATTTCACAAGAAGAGTTCTCCACTCCTCTACTCGTTGCAGAATACCTTATGCCACCAGACTTGAAATTGTAGACCTAGAAATCTAGAACTATGCTGCCTTTGGTCCGATCTAAGTATAGTATATAAAATCATACATCCTACCTGTCAATGAATACTTCAGCTTCAACCATAACAACACAAGAGCACACAATAGATACAAACTCACAGTTAATCGCACCAAACCTGATTGCAGGAAATACTTCAGCAACAGAGTGGTCAATGTCTGGAATACTCTACTTGACTCTGTGGTTTCTTCCCCAAACCCCAACAACTGTAACCTTAGACCAGTGGTCAGGGAACAGGGGTAAATTACCCCAAATGGGGTAAAAGTGAAAATCTGGGGGTAATGAGGAGGTTGCGCTGGCCAATGGCGGAACTATCGGCATAGCAGCAGTTATTAAAACACCCTTGAGGCAAATTTATCCCCTCCACCCCACCCTTGTTTCCTGGGTCGGAAATGACTCCAGGCTAGATTCTGCAAGAGCCGCGCCGCCCGTTTTTTAGGGGAAGGCGAGCTTCTGGCATAGGGCAGAGCATTTTGGGAAAAGGGACGCTTTCCCCCGCGCTGCGATGACCGCACGCTTTTCGCGCGCAGTTTGTGTCACCGTGGCTCCCAAATATCATCCTCCCTTCCCGCTTCCTCGCCCCCAGGCCCTGCCTGCCTGCCAACTAGCCAGCCAGCCCGGCTCCCTCCCCGAAGCCTCTCATCACTGCCAGGCACACAGGAAGCGAAGAGGCACCTACAACTGCCGCCTTGGCCTCGAGAAAATTCCCAGAAGCCCTCGGGAAGCCTGGTGACATTTCATTCCCTGGAGCGAGCTATCCCGCCTTCTTCCCAGCCGCGGGGGGGGGGGGGGGGGCACCTCCTCCCGCCTCGACCTCCAAATTATGTGTCAGCAGCCTGAGGTGGCCGGGGAGGGGGAGAGGCCGGGAGGGGTAACGTCTGCGTTTATAAATTTTTTGGGGGGTAAGAGGTAAAAAAGTTCCCTGACCCCTGCCTTAGACTGTCTACTATTGACCTCACCCCTTTCCTAAGAGGTCTGTAGGGGGCGGGCATAAACGCACCCACGTGCCTACCGTCCCTGTCCTATTGTTTTTCTTATTATTTTTTTATTTTTATTTTTCTTATATGTATCCATGTATTCATAACTATGTTTTTACTTATACCTATTATCTTGTAAGCAATTGGCAACCCCCCCCCCCAAAATAAAAAAATAAAAAACGACAATGAAAACCTGCTGGAAGTTACGTATGAATGCCCAGCCTTTATCACAGACAAATGATTCGCGCATATGATGAAAGGAACTCTAGTTCCTCGAACATTTATGCCACGATCCATTAGTTTTTCGGATGCTCCCGAATTCTTCCCTCATTCCTCTTCCCCTCCCGGGCGGCTCTGCTTTCTTCAGAGTGCAGTGTCAGATTACAGTAAACATTTGCAAAATAGGAGAGATGAACCCCGTGCCATAAAAAAAGGTTCTGTCACGATCCTTTCTACTCGCTCGCCCCATTTAGCAAAGAACCGGCACTTGGCAAAAAAACGCACCTACCGGGAAGAGCCCTTTTTCAGGCTAAGCCTCGCCTCCTCGCTTCCTCCTCCCTCCCTCCGTTCCTAGTTACAGCACCCGAGCGCACTTCGCTAATTTTGTTCTTTCTCGGCTGCCGTAAAAGGGTGGGTAGCGGGCTCTCGCGGTGGCTGTTGGGACAGTCTGCTAAGTTGTAAGAAACGGAGGAAAGTCGGCTCCGGGCGCTTTGGTCCTCGGGGAGGGTGGGGGAAGGCGTCGAGCGCGCTGGTTGTCTTGGATTGTGGAGAGACCACGCTGGATGGTGGGCAGAAAATAATAATAATGATGATGATCCGGACTGGCTAAAAAGACTGTTATCCGGGGTGTCCCGGAGAAGCGGGAAGGTGAGGGCGAAGCGAAACCTCTCGTAGTCGGAATCGGTTGGGAGACCCGGCACGCCCTCTGCTTCGTCCTGGAGCTGGTGGGTCGTCTATGGTTCCCCCCCCCCCCTCAATTTTGGCTCTGGCTCTTCGCGGTCCCTGTAGTGGCACAACGGACCCTGACCGGGCAGGATTGGCTCCTTAGCTTCCTCGAACGGGAGGCAGCTTTAGGTGTGAAATAGGAACCCTCCGCCTCCCCCGCTGGAGCGAAAGTATCCTCCGCCGTTTCTCCCGCGCCCCAGATAAAGCCCCGAAACGCTCCTTTCTCCGCAGTTCTTTGTGTGTCTAAACTAAGTTGGTTAAGTTCACTAGGAGGGTCTATCTTTAGAAATGCGAGTTCAACGCCGACTCGGTATGGATTAAGAGGAGTCTGGCTATGGCTTCCTCGCGTTTCTTATATAGGAGGGCTTCCATTGAAGAATTGGGTGAATTGGTTCACCTGACGGGTAGGTAGGCAGGCAGTTACAATGAAAGGCTTCCACCGGTTGTTGGAAAGCTCCGGGAGCAACAAATGTCTTGTGTACATTTTTATTTTTTGACACGGAGTTCAAATATATGCGCTGTGTGGGAAATGTAAACAGTGTATGGAATTTGAAACATATTAATTTGTGGTGAGCGTAATTTTGCAACTTTTTATGGAATGTACATGAGGGTAAAATAAGGTACTCAGAGTCTAGAATGCAGTTTGGTCTACTGATGCAGTCTATTTAATGGGTCAAAGAGAGAGAAAAGTAACATTCCTTATTTTTCTCTGATCTTTGGAATTTCCCCCTGCAGAATGAACTGTTCAAGTCTATTAATTCTCTATGAAACGGTTAATTCATCAACATACATCAGCTGAAGCCACATTCCCTCTCTGTGCTGGCTCCTAAGTGTGTACCTTCATTGTTTGCCAGATCCTGGAACAGTTGTGCGCAGAGATCATTGTTTACATAAATTGTGAAACTAATATTCTGATTCCCCCCTACTGCAAATGCAAAGTTATTGTATTGATTGACCATAATAGTATTTTAATGAAAAAGTTTATATGTATGTATGTATGTATGTATGTATGTATGTATGTATGTATGTATGGTATTCAGCTTTGTTCGGGTATTTTCCCACGTCATTGTAGTTGTGCTTTTAAAGTTGTAGCAACGTTTTGGCAGAATCTCATCTGCCATCATCAGGCTTCTGTATTGTGTCCATCTGTGAGTCAGGCCCCCACAGTTGTTTCAGTTTTAAATTTGGGGCTAGCCTATTGCTGTGCCAGAATGGTTTTTTCTTCATCCTGATTGGTTGGGAATCTTGGTCTGTGTTTATTGGTCTTGGAGTTTGCTGTGTTCTGCTTGATTGGTGTTTCTAATATCTTCTGTCTGTTTTGTGGCTCTTTTTGTATCTTGATTGGCTGGCAACATTGTGTTCCTGTATTGGAGGCCTTTTGTGCAGCTTGGCTCCGGGTAAATGGATGGCTATCATTTGTTAGGAAGCTAGGTTTCATCTGGGTGCCTGGTTGGGTGTGTTTGAGCTGGAGGTATCAGGGGGGATCTGTTTGTGCCCAGGAGTTTGCCTGGTCAGTTCAGCTCTGCCACACGTGTGCGTGCGCCTCCCGCCAGCCAGCTGGTCTTAGGGTCTCTGCTATGCATGTGCAGGGGCAGGTCGTGCATGGGGGTTATGTGCATGCGTGAGGGGTGGGATGCACACGGGGTGTGCATGAATGTGCGGGGCGAGGCACATATGTGGGGGCCATCACTGGCCTAGGATGTCTGGAATTCTCTGCTGGTTGTTAGATATTGTTGGGATGTTTGGGAGTTCTGCAGGGTTTACTTGTTCTTTTTCTTATGTTTAGTTTAGCTTTGTTCTTTTTAATTATATTGCCTGTATTGTGAGCCACCAGAGTTGTTTGGAACCAAGTGGCATAAAATAAAATAAATCTGCCTAGCACCTTTTTTGTTGCTCGAACTTCTAATGTTTATGATTGTTTTTGATTGCATAGTCTACTGTAATAACATCATGGCCTTGCCACTGTAGTATTCTTTTGAACTAGGTTTATGGACTATAGTGTTTGAGTCTAAATTTGTTATGACCCAGATGATCAAGGCAAAGCAGGCCTCTCTAGAGAGTCTTTTATTTCTCTCAATAAATGTTCCTGCAAATGGTCCTCCAATGGTAAGGCTCCACTCCCATGCCTCTTGAAGGCAGCCACCCTCAGTCCCCCAAACAATAGCCCCTATAGCACAAATGAAGTCCACAGAGTAGGAGCATGCTCACAGGGCAAGATCCAGGATTCCAAGTCCAGTCCAGGCAGAGGCCAGGCACAAGACAATGGTAGTCCTCAGGACAAAGAAAAAGTCCAAGGTAGGGAGCAATTCCAAAGGCACAGCAAAGCAAAGGACCAAAACCAGTCCATAAAATAAGGTCAAGGTCCAAGACAAAAGGCAAGAAGCAATCTTCCAAACAGGGCAAGGCCACCAACGGCAACAGGCTTGACTCAAAACAGGGGAGTGTAAGTCAAAGCAAAAAAGCTGTTCCTGGCAAAGACTTAACTCCCCATGTCGTCTTCTTAAGCCATTTCCCTCTAGGTGTTCCTTATGAGGGGGGGTGGGAAATCTTCTCCCAAGTAGCCATGCAGCCCTTCTCTTGAGTTTGCCTATGCTCTACTCTGCATGCCCTTGGATTGAGTGGAGGAGACAGCTGTTCCTCATCAGAGGAGATCTGCCTATCAACCCCACTGCCTGTCAGCAGCCAATCCCCCCCCTGTATCTGTGAAGGCAGGCAGCTCTCCGTCTGGTCAACCAACTTCCCCCAATGCCTGAGGGGGCCTGAGATAGCCTCGTCCTCAGCCCCTGGCCTCTCCAAACATGCCAAGGGAGACGTGCCTTCCCTGTCGGATGGTCCCAGTTCCAGCTCCTCCTCGTCTTCCGAACTGGGCTCTGATGGGGCCATGGCAAAATTTAAAGTAGATTATCAACTATTTGTTTACTGTGTTTGTGCAGTGTCAAAACCAAATTGGCACTTTATTTCCATAAAAGCAAAACCATCGTAAAAATTTAAAATAAGAATTAATACAAAATTCTATTGTAATACAGTTTGCACAATTTATGACCATTCATTCCCCAAAGCCTTCCAAAACATGTTCTTAATAGCTTCCGGAAAGCCAATAACAAAAGTGTCAGCTTAATTTCAAGGGGGAATTCTATTCCACTATATGGGGTTGCAACTGAAAAACAAATATATAGGCTGTTGTATTTGAACCAGTTATTAGCTTCTGAGTGGTCTTCAAGGACAGCCTTTTTTTTGTAGGATATGTTGTAGTATTCCAAGCAAACTCATATGACGTGCATGAGTTAATGCATGAGTTAGAAAGAGTAACTCATTCCAGGTTGAAGTGCAGCTGGTGCGCCAAAGAGAGCTGGCAAAGGGCATCTGGCCATGGCCTTAATTTGCACTATCTATGAGCTCATAATGATCCCAAATCCCTGACCTGTACTTATAGGAAGAGTCCCTTCTCTTTAAGTCCTTTTAATGGGAAATATGTCTGTGCGTTAATCAAGACCAAGTCGAAAACGTTGTCAGTGCTGTTTTACTTGAATTATTTTTCTATATAATACTATTGACAAAAGAAATTCAAAAACATTGGACTATATCGAGAGAGTGAGAGAGAGAGAGAAAGAGAGAGACAGAGACAGAGAACCTGTTTAATGTGTTCTGAGTTTGAATCCTCTCTATTTTGGCTGGACTTTTAAGCAACTTGCCAAGCAATTCTCATTTTTAAGAAGTGTCTCACCCCACCCCCTAAGTTTTTTAAATACAATCTATATGAGATTTCGTCAAGTCAGGGTGCATTAAAAAAAATCAGCCTTGATACATTTGCCCACATTTTTTCCTTCAAAAATTCTCTAGGAGTTTTGGGAGTCAACAGTGCAAGCAAGCAGCACAGTGGCTTTCATCCTACAGAAATATTTCATGAAGCTTGACGCTCACATTACAGGATTTCTTTGTAGTTCTTTCTATAGACTCATTGAGCCATTTAGATTTAAACAGAATTGCTATTCATTTGTGTTTAGGCATCCAAACAATGATTTTTGGGATTTTTTTTTTTGTAACCTTGAAAATTACTTTTAACAAAATACTTCCATTATATGGTTACAAGGCTAACGCTGATTCATTCTCAAATCCTTGCTGCTGTATGAATGAGCCTTCTTTAGGTCTGACTAACAGCACTAGAAGCACTTATTTTCCAGATTATATAATAGAGTAGAGTAGAGTAGAATAGAATAGAATAGAATAGAATAGAATAGAATAGAATAGAATA